TATCTGCTTTCCCTAAAACTCAGTAAGGGCTTCTCCAGATAAACTACCTTTTCCATTGACAAAGACACAGTTTGAATTTAACTGTTCTTTTAGACTAGTATGTTTTACTCATCTTATGGCTAAAATTCTAAAATCAATACTATAAAGTCTTTATGTGTACATATGTATATGTTGTATCTACATAGATTTAAGTGTCTACACAGGTGTTTATATGTTATCTACCAAAATAAAGATAGGTGAGTACTAATAAATTAAATGACTAGTCCCAATAGTTTCCAAGTTCATGTGACTTTAATAATCCTTGATAAATAAAAATAGTTTTAAAATTATTAGTAAAATAGAATAAAAACGTCTTCAAAATTTAATTTAGACATTTTTGTCTGTGACTACTGGTCAAGTAGATTTAGGCTATTTCTGTTAGATATTTTAAGGTCATAAAACTGTTGCTTTTATAGTACTTTTGATATTTGCTTAACTTGTCTGTAAACTTATGTCTTTAAATTTGATCCTTTGGGCCATGGTGAGGTGTAAGGACAACACTGGCTTATCTTTCCTGGCCCAGATGTGCCTATTGGCCATACCGGAAAAGATTAAATAGATAGATAGATAGATAGATAGATATCATCTCACATAGTTACCACTTTCTTTTCTTGATGCATATGACTGATAGTTCTTATTAAGATCATTTTTTACCTTTTGCAATGCTTTATGCTACATATTTCGTACACACATACATTACCACGTTAAATTTCCCCTACAACCCTATTATGTATGTGTTGTTGTTGTCAGTATTTTACAGATTAGAAAACAGAGGCATAGAGAGGATAACTGGCCAACTCTTACAGTAAGAGTCTCAAAAAGAGTCAAGACTGGTACCTGGACAAGACTGTACAAAATCTATACTCCACATCACTATGACACAAAACTTATAACATCATTTACAGAGATAACCTATGTAATAATAATTTATTTCCTATGAGCCCTGAGATCTCAGCTAATGCCTCTACATGCTCAGTATGCAATGTGGTTGGAGAGAGGTTGATTAATGAGTACATATATATAGTTTGATAGAAGAAATAAGATCTAATGTTCAGTAGATCAGGAGGGTAACTCTAGTTAATGATAATCTATTTATATTTCAAAATAGCTAGAAGAAAATAATTCGAATGTTTCTAGAATAAAGAAAAGACAAATATTTAAGATGATAGATGCCCAAGTTTCCTTGATATGATCTCGACACGTTATATGAATGTATTACATTATCACATGTATGCTGAAAATGTGTACATCTCCTATGTATCAATAAAAATAAATTTTAAAAATATGCAGTGAGTCCATTTAACATGTATGCAATTTTCCAATTTCTTAGGAAAAATACTTTATTTCATCCCTTCTCAGATACACCTCTCTATAATCCCATCTGAGCTTTATTTCTATTTAAGAACTTGTCATAGTTGAGGAAAAGAAGAAAGGTTTAGTCCTTTCCTATTTCATACCAGAAACATGGTCAAAGGGGTCATATCTGCTTTTGTTCAGTGGTCTTCAGAAGAGAAAGGTAGCAGGCCCCGTATAAGAAGAAGGTAGGCCTAGGGCCTCCATACGGAGTCCAAGACACCAGGAAAAGCTCAGCATACCAAATGTCTTTTGAACTTAGTTAAGTTAAATCTCACTTAATTGGTTGCAATTAGATTAACCTGCACCATATCATTTTGACAATTCTGTTAATAGTGTGCATTGTCTTTCCCATAGACAGTCACTGCACTAGGGAAAGTTGTGTGCAGGAAGCTATTGACAGTTGGCATCTCCCTGTCAGCAGGTTATGAGCAGACATTGCAAGAGTACCCTGGGGCTGAAGAAATTGCAAGCATTGGACATCATAGTTTTGCACATGGAACTTATACAAAGGAGACATTAATCAATCCTGAGGCCAGTGTACTCAACAGTGGTTTTTACCGCAAATGCAGAAATCTTTTTCTGGGATAATATCTTACAATGTTCATCAGTTTCAAAATGTGACTTAATAAAATACTAGGGCATAATTCTGGCTATTCATCTATTTGGTGTGGATCAGGTCTGGAAATGTGCCACTAAATTGGGCTGCAAGGGAGGTTATGCTAATAAATAACAAAGAGCCCATGAGAAGTGGCTTTTGTCTATTAAAGATAAAATCATGCTGAAGTTACAGTGTATATTGTTTAACATAGGCTTACATTTATTCCTGCTTCATAGAAAGGGGTCCTCTCCCAAAGTTCTTAAATATCGAACTAGATCATTTGTACTAGTTCTGGAGGCAAATGAGGGTAGTTGGAAATGTACAGAGGAAGCCTACACAAGGAACAATCAGAAAAATCTCATGGGGCATGTTCTGAATATAATTTTAAATGAAGAATATGGTTGAGAATTGAGCAGGTTATGGTCTGAGTCATTTCTTAAAACACTGTGACAAGTCTGAGGGGTCAATAGGCACAAATGTCTCCAGGAGCCAGGTAGGTGTCATCACTAAGGGAACAGACAGGAGCAGAGTCAGGAGGGAGGATTGGAGTGGTGAAGACCCCTGAGCTAGCACCCTCTCCACAGGGGGGAGCTACTCCTCAGCTCTAATTGAACGTTGATACCGCTGCCGTAACGGAGGCTGAGTGCACCAACCACCATCATACGATTTTTTTAAGATGTGACAAGAATACAAATTTTCTGTGTGAACTATTCCAGTTTAAAACTTTAGCTTCCAAACCAAACGTACTGAATAATGCCGTATATGCTGAAAAGAAGAGGGGTTTTTTTGTTTGTTTTTTGAGATGGGAGTCTCGCTCTGTTGCCCTAGCTAGAGTACAGTGGCATCATCGTAGCTGACTGCAACTTCAAACTCCTGGTCTCAAGCAATCCTCCCGCCTCAGCCTCCCAAGTAGCTGGAACTACAGGCGCATGCCACCATGTCCAGCTAATTTTTCAATTTTTTTGTAGAGACAGTGTCTCAATCTTGCTCAGTCTGAGAAGAAGTTTTTGATCCAGATACATCCCCCTGGGACTGTAGTATATGTTTTTTGTTTTTTGCCTTATATTATAGACACTTAAGTACAGATCTTTCTGCCCCATGTGGGTGTCAGCATCACAGAGGGCATACTCAGTATCTCATTCATCTTGGCATCTTCATAACCTATAAAAACGATCTCCACACAACATACATTACAAAAAATGTGTTTCATGAAAAAAGATGGTAATGAACATTAGCCAGAACAGGGTTTCAAGGCAGAGCACTATTAGCTCTGGATTGAGTCCTGACCAGCTCACCACTGTCCACATTTACATAAGGACATTAATGGTAAAATTATTATACTTTCACACAATAGGAAGAAAGAATGGTAGTTAAAAAATTATGTGGATTCATTTTGCTGAAGGTTGTATGGTGCCATGTAAGGGTCTAATTCTAGTTTTTTAATCTAGAAGCTGGACAAGAGATTTAAGACCTCCTAGCACACAGGTCTTGCCCCCTGCAATTCACTGCCCACCTCTGTACAATGTACCACACCATGCTCTATGCCTGGAATCCTCATCTCTTTGCTAAAGTCCCAGCAAAAGCCTGATTGTCCTTTAGGGCCAGTTCAAGTGGCCCTTTCTTCTGGAAGCCTTCTTTGTCCCATCAACCCAAGTAACTTCCTTCATCCTCAGTGCCCATAAAACCATGTTCACACAAGTGGTATTACCTCTGTCACACCGTAATAAAATTAGGTATTTATAATTATTTTCTTTGCTTTCTCTGGGGACAAACACAAAATGTGTTTCATGTATCAAAGTATACACTATGACTTTTACACTTTCAGGACTACAGGGCCCAGGGTCCTTAAATGTTCGTTTTATATTCATAAACATAGAATCATTCTCCTGTTGACATCACAAAATGAAATTTACTAGGAAGGTGAATGACAACTCCAGAACACACTGTTTTGTAGGAAATAGCACAGTTGAAAAGAAGCAGGACAACTCAGTGCTAGGTTAGAATCCTTTATGACAGCTAATGTTCATTCTCTGCCAGATTTTACAGAATGACTTTCCTCTGAGTATTTTCAGGGTATGTGACTTTACACCAAGTGGAAACAATAATCAGAGCAAAAATTAAAAGAAGAGAAAGTGAATCCAAGGCAAGAGGAGTAGAGGAAAAAAAAAAACCTTTCAAATCTGTGTAAAAACCATTTTAATAACCTGCAGAATCTTGAGCACCAGGAAATTCATAGCTCAGGTTTCCAGCTGAGCTGATGAGACATGCATTTGCGTGAAAGGGAACTGGGGATATTATGAAACATGAAAGGAAAGCTGAGTTCCTCCTGGGCAAATGGCCCTACCTGACTCTACTTGTTCTGAGTATAGGGCGTGCTTTTGTGCATATTTGTCTTTTAGCACCCTGCCAAAGCACAGTTACAAAATCCGTGGCCATTCTGCAGGCAGTGTACAGCTTTCATCCACAGAGTCCAGATCCAACCAGCAAAACTGGGTCCTGCACAGGAGGACCTGAAATTAGATTCCTTATCACAGAAGCAGCAGCAGTGCGGTCCTTGGGTGTCCGTTGGTGAGCCAAGTGATCAAGCAAAAAGGTTGATTGCAAAACTAGACCACTTGCCAATCTGTGGCTTTCTGTGTGGCCAAGATTCAGACCCTACTGGCTCTGCTGTCCCCACCCACCCAGGCTACTCTATATTTACAGTTCCAACTAAAGAGGGACCAGCTGTCCCTGAGCCCCAGGACCAGCTGGATCACAGGAGCCACAGCACAGAGACTGGGTAAGTCAGTGACCCCTAGAGCTGGGACAGGAGGAGCAGTGATGGGGCAGCAACTGAAGGAGGAGTGAGCTGAAGTGAGTGCCCAGGGGACATGGCACACTTTGGGGACAGGAAGGGAAAGGAAATGGGAACCCAGCGTGACAGCAGAGGGCCTGCAGACACTAAAGCATGTGTCATAACCGAGACAGATGCAGGAGCAGTTACTTCTCTTCTTTCTCCACAGGAAACATGGTTCCAAAGCTGCTCCATTCCCGACTTTGTCTGCTTCTGCTGCTGGGGCTCATGGGAATGGTGGGCTCCTTCCATGCCCGACCTGCTGATTTAACCTGGGCTCAGTGGTTTCAAATCCAGCACATAAATATGACCCATGCCCGATGCAATAATGCAATGCTGGTAGTTAACGGTTACACAGGACGATGCAAAGGCCGGAATACTTTTCTTAATACAACTTACGCTGATGTAGTTAATGTTTGTGGTACCCCAAATACAACCTGTCCTACAAGCAAAAGTACAAATTGTCATAATAGTTCAGTCCAGGTGCCTTTAACCTATTGTAACCTCACAAGTCGACCAACTCCTATTGAAAACTGCAGATATGCACAGACACCAGCATGGAAGTTCTATATAGTTGCTTGTGACAGAAGATCTCCACGGGACACTCCCACATATCCAGTGGTTCCAGTTCACTTGGATGCAATCTTCTAAGCTGCTATGTCAGCACTTCATGTCATAGCTCATCTGTCAAGCTTCACTATCGTAGCCAAGATGCCATCCTTCCACGCACCCTGAGCATCAGCTTCTGTCCTCTCAGTCTGCAAACTCCTTGAAGCTTTCCTGAGCTCATGGGCCTTTTGGACCTTTCAATAAACTTCTTTGCAGAATCATCAAGGAGTCCCTTTGTGTCATTTTTGCCACTCTACTATCATTTAGTAACAACCTTCTCTAGAGACTTTTCCCTTCCTCTAGCCTGAGATTGGCGGGAAATAGACAGATGTGAAGATAAGAGACTCTGCATCATGAAGCAACACAGACTTAACCCTCTCTCTGCTTTAGGCCAAGAAGCTGAGTTCTCAGCTGGTATCTGCCAACTGACAAAGGCCCTGTCCTTGATCACACCTTAGTCATGCTTCTCTGAATCCTCTTCACAACTAGGTCCTTACCTTGAGCTTCAGAGTCCTTCCCCGTAGAGCTTCAGAGTCCTTCCCCGTAGAGTCCAGTTTTAACAGGAATCTTCCTAACTCAGCCTACTGTGAATCTCTCACCCTGCATAGCTGACCAAATTCCTCACCTCCCTCCAACCCCCATGTGATATCTGATCACCCTGGCCTGCCCTCAAACAAACAAACAAACAAACAAAAAATCCACTGTCTAAGTTCTTTATATGTCAGGAAAAAAAAGAAAAAAAAAATCCAGTGGAGTCCATTTAGCAATGATGTCACCAGCCTTGATATCTCCGCTTGGTAACCTTCCGTCCACCAACCCCCACACCCCACACACCAACCTATAACTTGTGTGTAGATCTCCACTTGTCCTAGTTGTATTCTGGAGTTGAGTCCAGTTTGACACTGAGGTCTCATTTACCCTATTGCGGTAGTCCCTGAGTAAGTCTGGTTTTGATGCTTTAACTATAGTCTAGCTCTGGTTTCCTCTGACATTATTTCCATCCCAAGAGATACAGGGACCCAGGAACAAATAGAAAATGAACATGTTTGATTCTGTCTGATTTATGAATCATAAATTTTATGATAGAATTGAACTTTAGAATACAAAATAGAAAAAAAAGGAAAGACAAAACCATAAGGAGGCTCTAAATACAGTGAAAGCAAAAGAAAAAAGGAAAAATTTAGCCTCAGTGATATTTCTTTTAAATGAGTGCATCAGTTTTTCATTCATTAGTAATTCTACTAGGGGTGAATCTAGGCTTTGACTCAGATCTGGAATGAGGTAAATTGTTCAGGCAACAATATGGACAGATTCTAGTACTGCCTGGAGGAGAAGTGGGCATCTTTCCCCACACCATCCATGTCCTGGGGAAGGGGGCAGCTGGACACCTGGTGGGAAGGGGAGGGAGGCAGACATGGAAGTGGGAGCTCTCACCATGGCCAGTCGTCTCCTGCCCACTCTGCCTCCACAGTTGTCCCCGATGGTGAGTCATCCCTTCATTGAAAACCTGTCAGGAAGGACACAGGCTCCAGGATCGGGGATTTGTAGACCCGAGAGACAAGAAGTGGATAATGAGAGCCCCCGCCCTGCCTCCTTTATAGGGCTGCACTCAGGAATCCATGAAAAACAGGAAGAGAAAGTCCCTTACAAGCTATGGACTGGTACAGCTTTCAAATGACTGTTCTGTTGACACAGTGGGTCTTCTTGGAGTGCCTCACTCAGAATACAGCAGAGATGCCATATCATCAAATAAGCATCTTTGTCCTTCAAGCTGAGATTCCCGACTTCCATTTTTCTGCTCTTCTTCCAGGTCCTCAGAAACAGTAACTTCCATTCCTCCCACCACTCCATAATCTCAGTAACTCTTGCTGTTATTAGGACCACAGACAGCAGCTGCATTTGAGCCTCTCCTCTGGAGGAGCCATTGGAGATTTTGCTTCTCCTGGGGGCAGAGGAGGGGGTGTCTGGGATTCAAGGATTTGCACAGGAAAACTGGGTTTGAGGCATTCCAGTGCTAGATAGAATCTGCTGACTTTAGGTAAAATAGGAAGTGGCATGAAGTGAAGTCACTCTTCCAACAACCTCAAAGCAGCAGAAGAGGGGGTGGGTCACTGCAAAGCTGGAGAGAGATGGAGTGAACTATCAGGGGTTCGCAACATCCCCAATAAAGATAAGGTTCCCTGGCCGACTGTGTTGCAAGAGATGAATGAAACAAAGACACAGAAACAGAAATAATATTTAAGAAAGGGAAAGAAACGGACTGCTAGCACTCTGGTGCCAAGGTGGCAGCGACTGAAACCCAGCATTTGCTTTTTAATCTCTTTGCCATGTTGCAAAATACAATGATCTCATGTGAAAAAATCATGGGATACAATGATCAAAGGTTTTGGGGCTCCCCCCAAAATCCCAAGGTGTCCTAGCTAATTTCCTTTTCATTTCTAGAAGTGAAAGACACATAATTCTTCAGTAGGTACAATCCTTTTGATCAAGGTAAACTAACTAATTTTATCCCAAGCTCAAGCTATGTACATGGATATCAATCTCTAACTTCAGTAGCTGTGACCCATTTGATCAAGGAACAAAGAAACTACATGCTTTCCACTGGGAGACTGGTTTTATATTAACTGAGGCATTGTTGAGAGAAAGGGAGAGAAGGAACTTGGCCCACTGTTCAAACAATGGAAGCCCTGAGACCCTTCTCCCCAGCTGACATATGGCAATCTACCTCTACAGCCATGAGAAGTTTTCTTGTCAGGCCACCCGTGGCTTTTCATGCATGAGACCCCTTAGGCTCTGAGGTTGGAGCATGCTTTGCTGTACTCCCAGATCGCTGATATATGTCCCCCAACTAGGCAGTTAACATCTGCCCTTATTTCAGGCTTCTGCTCAGGCAATTCCTTCTCCTCCTATCCTCTCACAGCCTCAGACATAGCATCATTAAGTCCCAGTGGTCTTAATCCCATCGCCTATGTTACCAGATCATGTGTCTCTTCCCAGCCAGGGATGCCACATCTCTAACACTCTAGACTAGAGGGATCACTCATCTGCCCCACGTCCTCCCACCCTGTGTCCTAATCCCCTCTCCTGTCATTCATTCATTCACTCATTCAGTCATCCAGCAGACATCTATTGAGCAGATACTGTGTTCCAGGCATGGTTCTACCAAGGTGACAGCGCAACAGAACAAGGACAGGTTGCTACTCTCCTGGTGCCACATTCTACTGGGATAAGAATAAATGTACAAAATTATTTTAAAGCATACAAAACTGTGTTAGGTGTCAGGAGGAAAATACACAGCACAGTACACAGAAAATTACACAGAGTATTACAATGTAGAGGTGCTGAATGTGTCATTGGAATGATAAAGCAGGGTGGAATCAGGAAAGAGGAATGAAATCTTAACATCATCAGAAACAGTGGGTCACCAGAGAAAGACAACAGGGCAGGGGTTGGGGGTGGGGAAATCATCCCAACACCAAGAAAAAGGGAGAGAGAAAGAATTCAGAGGTCCTGACATTGACAGAGGCTTGGCATATTAGTATAATAAAAGTTGGTCTGGCAGGACAAGAACACTTTAGTCACGAGTATTAATGATAGCGATTAATGAGGTTCAGACCCTTCACACCTGTGAAGTTGCAAGAAGAGTAAGTTCTTAGTGGGGCACAAGTTGAGCATGTTAAATATGAGAATAATGTGACCTAAAGATCAGTCTAGCTGCTGTGTGGAACAGGACTATTTGGGGTACGATATTATCGAACTGAACTGGAGTCTGCTCATCCCGTGCAGTGAAGCCAGATTTGCAGTGGGAGACAGGAGCATTTTATTGTATGTCGCCAAGTAAGCAGAACAGGCAGCTAACACTTAATATCTGAACTCCACAACGGCTTAGAAGGATGAGTTTTTAAAGGCAGGGGTACATTTCAGGAAAGTGAAGTTGTAAGCAAAATCATAAAACCAGTACATAGAGGTTATACATTGGTTTGGCTCAAAAAAGTGGGATACCTTGAAGCAGGGTCTTGCGGGTCAGAGGTGGATTCAGAGATTCATTGATTCCTCTAGGTGTGACTCTCTCCAGGACCCTCAGGAAGAAATTTAGAACAAAGAACAGCAGTCAGAGTGGTCTACCTGATAGCAGTTGGCATTTTCCATTTAGTGAGGATTTCTGAAAAACAACTCGAGAACATAATTTAAAATGTTATCTTTTAGTTTCTATAGGGAACCAAAATACCCTGTGACTCTGGCATACTTAGGAGACTATTGTTACTATCTTCTCTTTTACCAGGTTGCTCATCTTCTTTGCCATGCTAGGTATGTGCCCAGGATTTCCCTTGAAGGGACTCAAGCTTCTTTTAAGCTTCCATGCTTGAGGGTTCTGGCAGGCACCTAAGAGGAGTCCCTGCTCCATCTTAACAAGAGTGAAAGTGGGAATACCAGTCATGAGCTGACAGTATCCAGGCCAAATAACAGCACATAGACTAGGGTATTAGCAGGGACGTTGAAGAGAAGGTGCAGATTCAGAACAGATGTTCAAGGAAGAATCAACAGGCCCCAGTGGAGAACTGGAAGTTGAGGGAGAGGGAAACAGAGGAGTCTTCCAATATCAGTAAATCACATTATCATCCTCTCATGTTGCAGTCCCATCCTATTCCCCTCCCTGTATCCATGGCCTCCCTCCTGCCCCCTATACCTTCCGTACCCTCTTCCTGCCATTCCCATGCAGCTTCTCTTCCCCAGTCTCTATGCTGAGAATTGGGTTAAGATCAGAGGCAGTTGGTGGACCCAGAGCTCCCAGAGGGAAAGATGATCCAAAGCAGAGCAAAGAGGGTCCTGTGCTTGGCCATGGGGACACCCTGGCTGGCCTCACTACCTTTTCTGCAGTAGACATCCAAGACTTTCTGATTGTCCTGAACCAAAGGCTAGCACCACAGAGATTACCATTAGAAAAGTTAAGTGGCTATACCAGCATATTCCAAGGACACAATCCTTGGAGTCTACTTCTCTTCTCTGAACCTCCCTTGCCTGATTTTATTAAATTCTCATGA